TCTCATTCTCCTCTGAATTCTTTCTTGGGATTCTATATCCATTCTGTAGTAAGGTGACCAAAACCGAACTGCGTAATCCAAGTGAGGTCTCACATGCGCAAGATATAGTTTTAGGATAACCTCGCTAGTCTTGAAACTAACACTCCTTTATATGAACCCAAGTACTTTGTTAGCCTTGTTTTGAGCAAATACATATTGTTGTCGTAGTTTAAGACTCCTACGTATTATTACTGCTAAATTTTTCTCACAGTTGGCTTTCTCTATAACAACGTTGTTCATCTGCTATCTGCTTTCTCTGTTTACATCTCCTAGACTAAGTACTTTACATTTGTCCACATTAAATTTTATCTGCCATTTATCAGACTGAAAATTTTTTTTTTAGATTTTTCTGTAGTTTTGCAGAGTCCTCGTCAAATTTCATTACGTGCTCTCTTTAGTATCATCAGCAAATTTACTTATGTTGCTGCCTATGCCTATATCTATGTCGTTTTTTAATATAATAAATAGTAATGGTCCAAGTACTGAGCCTTGGAGTACTCCACTAAAGGCGTTATCCCAATCAGATATAGTGCCGGTAATGATTGCTCGCTGTTTCCTGTCCTGTAACCACGCCCCAATCCATTTTAGAATATCTCCTCCAATTATGTGAGCCTCCACTTTTCGTATTAGTCTTTCGTGGGAGATTCTGTCGAAGGCTTTGCTAAAGTCGAGGTATACCATAATCATAATAGTGCCCGACATCCACTGATTTGAAAACAGTTGAAAAGAATGTTAATAGATTAGTCAGATATGAACGCCCACTTGTGAAACCGTGTTGGGAATCATTGATCAACTTGTGCTTCTCCAGGTGATTTTGAATAGAGTTTGAAATTATTGCTTCCAGCAATTTGCCTACAATTGATGTTAAACCGATTGGACGGTAGTTAGAGGATAGTATCTTATTCGCTATCCTCCAGGATTCTGGTACTACACCCGTTTTTAAGGACATGGTAAACAAATTTGCTAAGGGTATACTAAGCTCTTTCTTACATTCTTTTAATACTCTGACAAATATCTCATCATGACCTGGTGACTTATTAGAGCTTTAGCTTGTCTATTTGCTTACTAACATCGTTACTAGTCACTACTATCTCGCTTAATCTATTTTCTTCACTATCTCTGTATATAGTCGGTGCTTCGGGTATTATGTTTAAATTTTCAGTGGTGAAAACTGTTGAAAAATATCTGTTCAAGTTATTGCTCATTTCTCTGCCGTTATCCGTTAGCTCGCAGTTTTTTTTTTTTTTACAGGGATTAGCCCACTCGGGCACAAGTCACTGACCCACATCGGGGCCTGGGGGCCAAAATGTAATAATAATAATAATAATAATAATAATAAAGAACCATAAAAAATAAGAAAAATTAAAACAAATATCAAGAGTGAGAAACAATATATGTATGTTGTGTTGTGATAGCCCACCTGCTGTCAACCTCCTATATTTCCCACTTCTGAACTTTACCTTGTACTGTACCCTTCCTGTACCCTCAGAGCTAATGCTCTCGTCCCTCCGTATCACCAACCAATGGTACGAGAAACAATTGAGACCCTGCAATTGTGTGTAAATGAGGCAGAAAGTCAGATCAGCAACAATTTTCATGATACTGACTGTATTGGTCCAATCTTGTCTCCTGTTATATAGTGATGCATTTGTGCATTAAGTAATTCATTATTTAAACTGCTGTGGAACTCGTCAACCTCAGATCTCGTGATCAGGTCATCATCAACCTCATATTTTGTGTGGTTATCGTTGTCAGGTCACCAGGTAAAGTGAGGTCGCCCTCTGTGGGTACATTGTGTCAGGTCACCTCACGTGAGATCATGTAATTCACCCCCAAGCGTCATACTCATTCTCTCAGCTGCCTTTTCAACCTATCATAGTTTGTCCTTCTGAAATCTGGGACTTTAATGGAATTTTCCTTGGTGGCTGATATTAAGTTCCACTTAAAATCTCACTTCTTTGTGATCGCTGTTAGCTAGTTCGTTCCCTACCTCGACATTAATCATGAGGTTTTCTCTGTTTGACAGAACTAAATTGCGTATATTATTATCTGATGGTTTATACAATGAATCGTAATTTCCATCTTGTCTTTATATAGAAAATTATGCAGAATATATTATGTCACGTTACATCCTATCAAAAGCAGCTGATGAATAATGTGGCAAAATTAATCTGATGTCAAACCAATATATTATTTTTTTAAGCTCCTGTTATCATGCCGCTTTCATTATTTTCCTCCTTCTGCTCCTCCCCCTCCTCTTTTAATCCCTCGGTTGGTCCATATATCAGGGGAGTAACCCACCCGTGAAAATAAAGACGGAGCAGCTGTGTGTGTGTGTTTACCTTAACTAACCGGATATTATGACAAAGTTGAGGTGTTTGAGGGTCGATTGGTGGACAACGTGGAGGTAGATGAGGCAGCACCCTGGTAATATTTACTGACGGTCCTCCAGGTGGAATTTGAGGTTAGTAGGTAGAGGCATGAGCCCCTTTTGCGTACACAGAGTAGTTACAAATTTTCACGAGGTATCGATCAACAAAAGAACCATTTCTTTCAAGACAGCTGTAATACTCGAAAGACTTCAGTCATGTTAATATTGTTGTATCTGATTACGTAAATATTAGGCATCTAGCTTATTTCTCCTGATGATTAGACACCCTAACGCTAACCAAATCTTACCTAACCTGACCTGACCTGACCTAACCTAACCCAACTCTTCCAGGTAGCTTTATTTAGGCTGATTGATCATTACGTGAAATAAGTTAGGATGCCTAATCTTCACGTGATCCAACAAAATATTTCAATTTAAATTTTAACTACGTGGCGATAACTCCAAGTGATGACATATGTAGGCGACAATTATAACAAACAACAAGCAACAACATCAATAATAATAACAACAACAACAAACAAACATAAACAGCAACTGCAATAACAACAAACCGCACCAACAAACTAACGAACAACAACAACAACAATAACAACAACAGCAACAACAGCAACAACGACGACAACAACAAACAACAAAAAACAACATGAACAAACTATAACGATAACAAACAAGAGCAAAAACAAACGACGATAACAACAACAACAACAATAAACATTAACAGCAACAGCAATAACAACAAACAACACGATCAGACTAACAGGAAATCTATCAGATGAATAAAAGGCCTCATTAGAACACAGTTATTTATGACTGGCGCCTTTTGGGGGGCGTTAGAGCCTTGTGTCCTCTCTGAGCAGCGTAACGGTAGATGATAAAAACAGAGTCATTCTTCCGTAACCCTTCACTAGTCCTGAGGGTGGAGGCGGCCGTTGGGGAGCCATGTGGGTCAAAAGACCCCCTCCCTAGTCAGGCCATAAAGGGATTGTACTGGGTAACGTCTTGGCTTGGATAAATAGCTTAGGAATTCTTTTATCACTTTCCAAGATAACAACAGACTGCACTAACGTAACGTAACGTAACGTAACGTAACGTAGCCTAAGAAAAACAAAGGCGATTACCAGATGTTTTTACACTGATAATACTGTACCCGTAAACTAAAGATGTAAGGTGAATGCATCGAACTAGTTGACTTATGGGGTATTAAATGATAGCACAGCATGAAGGCGAAAATACAAAAAATACAATACAAGGTTAGATTAGTTTAGAGTAGGAACCCTGTTTAGACCATCAGGTGCAGTAAGCTGGGAGGCCTAATCTTCAGGCAATCCCAACTTCTTGTGATGGAGAAAAAACATTCGGGGACTTTATATTGTTCATCATATATAAATCTCAAAATTTTTGTAATAATTTGTTTAAACTATACTGGATATTTTTTTGCTGGTTTTTTACTTCTTCGAAAATTTAAATTTGGGTGAAAAACTATTTATTTACTTTCGGATAAGAACAGAAAATTGTCTTATGGAAACTTGGTGGGTACAAAAATGTAATGCTATGGAGAGAGAGAGAGAGAGAGAGAGAGAGAGAGAGAGAGAGAGAGAGCTTTACAGGTCTCTTCAGAAAATTCAATTAACCATTATTAACCATTTTTGTACAGGGTCCCATCGGAGTTGAATAAATCGTTTGAAGTTAGTCAAATAAAATAATAAAAGTGAAGATGTTAACAACAAATTAAAGATTTACTGTGCTGTAGGTCAAGTAATCTAGAGGTATCCGCTCTTAAGCTAGCAGAAATAATAATAATAATAATAATAATAATAATAATAATAATAATAATAATAATAATAATAATAATAATAATAATAATAATAATAATAACAATAATAACAATAATAATAATAATAATAATAATAAATAATAATAATAATAACAATAATAATAATAATAATAATAATAATAATAATAATAATAATCATAATAATAACGATAATAATAATAATAATAATAATATTAATAATAATAATAATAATAATAATAATAATAATCATAATAATAATAATAATAATAATGATAATAATAATAATAATAATAATAATAATAATAATAATAATAATAATAACGATAATAATAATAATAATAATAATAACAATAATAATAATAATAATAATGAAAATAATAATAATAATAATAATAACGACAATAATAATAATAATAATAATAACGACAATAATAATAATAATAATAATAATAATAACAATAATAATAATAACAACGACAATAATAATAATAATAATAATAATAATAATAATAATAATAATAATAATAATAATAATATTAATATTAATAATAATAACAATAATAATAATAATAATAATAATAATAATAATAATAATAATAATAATAATAATAATAATAATAATAATAATAGCTGGATAAGACAACAGTTCCTCAGTCAGACAAAATAATTCAACTAGTCCTGTCTGTCGATCAGTCAGTAGGTCAGACAGTTAGAGTTAGTATTCATAGAGCTGTATTATGCAGATAGATTCATATTCATCTTTCACTCCTGCAGGACACAGCAGCTGCTACGGCAGGAGGTGCAGGTTGCCTCCTTACTTGATGGTGGTGATGATGGTGGGTCTCCTGCAAGAGAAGTTAGTACAGCAAGTGGCCGCTCAGGGTTCAAGGGCCGCAGCAGGCCTCTTCAGGTGGGTGATGGTTCAGCCTTTCAGTGGTGGGAGTGTTCAGTTGTTCAAGGGGGTGGTGGTTCAGTCTCTCAGTGGTGGGAGTGTTCAGGTGGAAGGTCTAGTTAGGTTAGGTTAAGTTTGGTTTGGTTCTCCCTTGTTTCTCCACAGTGGTTCCCCCGGTCACTTCTGTAGGGAGAATTCACTGGGCAATCCCCAAATTTTTTTGTTTGCTATTCAGGGAAACGCAGGTGTTCTTGAGTAAATCTGGGCCGCTGATTTCAAATCTGAAGTCAGAATTCAGCCATCACATCACGTTTCAAGTTATGTATATGTATTAATGATACCCGGCAGCTATATTTGACACTTTATGAGTGTATATTGCCACATTGTACATTTAACAACAGTGCTTAGTAATTACTTTCACATCATATTGAGATAACAATGATTGATCTCCACGTTTATAATGCGTAGTATACAACTCAAGAACATAAACAAGTTACAGAAAAAGACCCCAATACAAACATTAGGATATGCTAAGCTAATTTCAATATATTCAGCGTAAGCACCGCTCGGAAGTGTTCAAAGTTATGTGAGACACTTACTCTTGCGTTTGTGTGTGGAAATGATCTCCCGTTGTAGGAGCCAGCAGTAATCACCCATCATGTTTGGGTTGAACCGACCTTGATACCTAGTTTCCATCACCGACATGTCTTGGTGGAACCTTTCACCATGCTCATCGCTTACCTGACCCAGATTAGAAGGAGAGAAATCAAGATAAGAATGCAAGAAGTGCAATTTAAGAGACATCCTACAGCCCATTCGCTGATAGGCCTTTAGCATATTGTCCACTAATTCAGCATACTGTTCAGCTCTATGGCTCCCAAGAAAGTTCTGCACAACCAACACAAATGCTTCCCATGCTGCAAACTCAAGTGGGTTCAGTTTATTTTTGAACTCGCGATAATCCATCAGTTCTCGGATCTGCTTTAAGTTTAGCATCAGTTTTCCCTGCGCCAAACTCCTCTCTGAGATACTGGAAGCCACTACCGTCATGTTCCATTGCCTTTACAAAGTTTTTCATAAGGCCGAGTTTGATGTGAAGCGGTGGAAGGTAGACTTTCTGAGGGTCTACCAATGGCTTGTGCTGCACATTGTACCTGCCAACTGTGTGTTCATGTCTTTCAGGCCAGTCTTTTACAGCATAATGATTGCTGTCGTCACGGTTGTCCCATAGGCACAAGAAGCTCATATGTTTTGAGTACTCCAGATGCAGTCCTAGGAGGAGAGAAATCACCTTTAGATCACCGCAAATGTTCCACTCATGAGCTGAGTAATTAATCACTTTCAGAAGGATTTCCATCGACTCATACGTCTCCTTAATGCCGACAGCATGAGCTACAGGAACAGAAGGTTTTTTGTTAACTCTGTGTAACAACAAAGCTTTGAGGTTCAGTTTGCTGGAGTCTACGAAGAGTCTCCATTCATGAGGCACATGTTTCTTTCGTAGCTCATGCATGAGGCCATTAACGTTAGTACAGAAACAAATATAATTTTCTATCTTAAAAAAGGCAGCTAAGTTTGTGTGGTGATCAAGAAAGAGGGAAATTTTGGTACCTTCCTTTAGGAGGTTCCATTGATGTAGTTTGGAGCCCAACACTTCTGCTTTCTCCTTTGACAATGACAGGTCTCTCACCAGATCGTTCAACTCTTCTTCATTTTGCAGGAATGGCTTAATTTCCTCAGATTAAGATTCATACAGTTGATCCATATCAGCATCATCGCACTCATCATCATCAGAGTTGTCATCGCTTTCAACTGCAGCAGCTGCTAGGGTAACTGGCACAGGCGAATCCAAGTCATGGGGGACCGGCTTCAGAGCAGACTTACATTCTGGATAAACAATTTTTTATTTGTTTTTCTTTGAGAAACCAGCAATCTTTGTCAAACAAAAGTAGCAGTCAGAGTGATGATTCGTTGGCTCACGCCATACCACTGGCACAGCAAAAGGCATTCCCTTCCCTTTGCCATTCAACCACTGCGTAAGCCCCGAATTACACAGGGTGCAGCAAACGTGAGGTGCCCAGCTCTTGTCTTGGTCTTCAACTTTATATCCAAAATAATACTTGTAAGCAGTTTTCACTCTGTTGACAAGGTTCTTGCACTGGTCACGTGGAGTGTATTTTCCACAGATATAGCAAAAGTTATCAGGGTGATTCACACAGCCTCGTCTGTTCATAATGTCTGTAGTAACATAGGCCTAACCTGAAAATATACAGACAAAATATTAGTTTATACCCTGAAAAGATGTAGATATTATTACCATGAAATAAATTCCAAACTAGATGCATTCTTAAAAGGTATACATTACATTTAAAACCTTTAATATCCAGTTCTTAAGCCAATTATGCTGGGTTGGTGCGAGGCAGCCCAGTGTAACTGGATCATATGTATAACTTAAAATCCTGACGGGCTGGGAAAATTCTGAGTTTATATTCAAAATCAGCATACTTGATTTAGTCTAAAACATATGTATTTACACCAGTAGCAAAATTTTGTTGTCCAGTTATTGAAGGGTCTGTTAGATATTTGGAAGATTCAGTTTATTTTTTGTAAGAAGTGTCATTGATGTAGTTTGAAAATTAATTGATTAAAAATGCAGTGATTTATGAGTCGGGTTAATGAAATAAAATTAAAGAAAAATAAATAAATTATTCTTTGGTTAGTTCAAGCATGATAGACAACATATGAATGGAAAATTAGTTATGAAATATATATATATATATATATATATATATATATATATATATATATATATATATATATATATATATATATATATATATATATATATATATAATCCTCAACCAGCCAGGATTCGAACCCACGGCCAAAGCCTATATATATATATATATATATATATATATATATATATATATATATATATATATATATATATATATATATATATATATATATATATATATATATATATATATATATATATATATATATATATATATATATATGTATATATATATATATATATATATAAATATATATATATATTTATTTATTTATTTATTTATTTCATTACAATAAGATAAATTTTAATTATCCCTAAAACATGTTATGTGTTTCAATAGGTCCAAACTTGGGGATCTATATAATCTTCGCGAGTCGTTTCGGGAAGCAGTCATACCACAGTTCCCTACGTTTGAACCAACCACGATGACACCCGGCACCACCACCACGGCAGCACCCCAAATAACACAGTCGAGTTTGGGCTGGTGGTCGTCGTCAGCCGCAGATGTGAACTCAGACAATGTTTACTCAGAGTTGTCAGAGATATACGGTAAAGGTCTGAGACAGGAGCAGCCCAGTGAAAACGGACTCTCTGAGGCGGATATGCGGCAGCCAAGTATCAGTGACTCGCAAAAGAGTGTCTCGGGGAACGACATCGGGAACGACCATATCTTGAACGACGGTGATCTGGGAAGCAGCATGAACAACAATCTCAGAGGTAAAAATATTGAGGATGGTGATTTTAATGAGACGAGTGAGGTGCAGGGTCGCGAGAAAGACGTCCCCGAGGAATACTGGGCGAGGATAAAAGGCATCTTCGGGAATATGAAGTCTATTTTGGAACAGATGTACCCACCGGAGACCAAAAACGAGAAGTTCTCCTTTTCCTTCTTTGACAAAGCCATCGCCTTGGGAGACAAGGTACATTTTCTCAATCAAATGCAAGGCACCTTCGATCATGGTCTTCTAGGGTTCCTCTCCCATAAGTGGGAAGACGTCAAGGAAAATATCATAAACAGTCATCCTATCTTCAAGTTCGTCGCGTCCTCCAGTAGTCAACAGATGGGTAGGAACTTCATGATAGCGTTGGTACGGAAGGTTGGTCACATCCTACATCGTCAGGCCTTCACTCATCTATCCGAGCTGGACTTCGTCACAGAGCTCATGAGATCCTCGGGCTTCAAGGACTTCGAGATCCATCAGGTGTTCGGTCTCCTGGACTTACCCACAGACTCACTTAGGGATAACGAGACGCTCACAGCAGAATCCCGCCAGTTGGGCTACAACCTCGGACTCGACAAATCAGGTGGATATGGGCACTCTGGCGGTGCCGGCGGCTATGGCGGTGGCGGCGGCGGCTATGGAGGCGGCGGCGGCGGCGGATACATGCAGAGTTTCGACCCCTTCGTGCTCTTGGCTGGTCTGGCTTTTGCGACATTCCTGGCCTACCTCATCTACCGTCTACTGTCCAGCACAGCGGCAGCAAGGAGGAGGGAAGTACCAGACGTCTCGTTGGCCCTCGATCTGTCTGACCTTCCTGACGTGGTAGGCAACCTGTACACCTGGCTGGAGAATACCGAGAACTTGTACGGACGCTCTGGAAGGGTAAGTAGTACTCGCTTACGCTGACTCTAACCTAGAGAGGATCTTTGGGTTAAATGTTTATGTTATTGTATAGCAGTCAGGTATATCTACCCTGGGCTAAATGAACACCAAAAAGTATCGTTTCCCAGACCAAATTCACTTTTGAATAGAGCCCCGCCTATTCTTAATATCACTGACACCCATCACAGATCATAAAAATTAACTGGTTGCTTGCATAGATGTGACTCAACAACCAATCAACTTGCATGAATCTTGACGGTTGCTAAGGACGCCTGAAGAAGGCGAGGCTTTTCCCATAGTTTATTTAGTATAAACAATACAGAATATTAGAAATATCATAGAAAATTCTTCTAAAAATAATTAAACAACAAATAAATTTCCGATGCATTGCAGCTAAATTTGTTCTCTGAAATAACTGGAAGGAGGAGCATATATTTGAAAGAAATATATAATGATAAAAAATCATAAATTTACCCAGGCCAAATTAATATTAACAATCACAATGATTTTATATTCTGCTCACATCAAATGAATTTGGAGAGAGAGAGAGAGAGAGCTATCAGTGGGTTAACACTTCTCTTTCAGGAGGATCAGAAGGAGGAAGGAGCTCTAGACTTCAGCTCTGCGGCCAACAAGATGTGGTCAAGCTTCCAGGTGGACCGTCTGTCTCACGCGTGTGTGAAGAGATACATGTGTGACTACGTGACCTCCACCAGCACCTCCATGATGACTCCGGACTCCATCCTCCAGCAACTGGCTTTGTAAGTTCTCGTCCATTTGAATAATTCTCTTTGTCTTTCTATGGGTCACTCTGTCTACGTCCCTCTGTCCTTGTTCCGTCAGTCATTGAGTAAGTCATTTTGCCTTTGTTTAAGTCCATTTGTTTTTGTACACGTCCCTCTATCTTTGTGTAAGTCCTTTGTCTTTTTACAAGTTCCCTTGTCCTTCTATAAGTCCTATATCTTTGTGTAAGTCTTTTTGTGTCCCTCAACCTATCCATGAGTCCACCTGCCATTACCCCATGACCCATACTCACGAGCTCCTAAATGATGCATCAATTCTCGTAAGTCTTATGAAATATTAAAAAAAAAATCCTAAAAACTCAGAAATTTTCTTATTAGTCTCTCTATCGACCACAAACTACTAAAACTACTTAATAGGATCATCTGGTAGTGTTCGTGTTCTGGGTATCAAATTCTATCTACAGGAGCGAACACAAACACCTGGATAGTTTTCGTAGGTTCTATTTACTGGATAAAAGATATGTACACAAGGGGGGTAGCGCTCCTTACTCTGTCCGGAGGTCAACTGCTCCCTAGGCGACGTATGGTAAGTGATACATAAACAGCTTCCATATGTCGCCAGGCACATTAATTAAGTATGTGGGACATGGTAATTACATTGCCACACGCTGCTAGCTAGGCTGAATAAATAATGTATATAAATGGAGCACATACATAATATACATACATAATATATAATACAGCATACATAATATACATACACCTCCCTCCCCCCTATACGCTCATAGCAAAGTCTTGAGTGGACCTTTTTTTTTGGATCCGTTCTGAGCGTCGAGGGACTTGATCACTGGGAAGGGTATGGGACTCAACACTGGTGGCGGGGTCAGCAGAAGGCATTGTTACTGGGCGGAGAAAACGGCGGTTCCTCCACCACACACGACCACTGGGTAACCGCACCTGGTAGTCCCGTGACCTACCGAGACCTATGACTACGCCCACTTTGTCCCAACGTAGGGAGGTCGGGTCCTGAACACGGACTTGGGTGCCGACACTCAACCTGGGGAGAGAACGGGCGTGGTCGTTGTAGCGGGCGACGACGTCTTGAACACGTTCGGCGGCTCGGCGATCACAATCCTCTGTCTTGGCCTGCCACTCCTTGGAGAAGGATGGAGGGTGAGCAGGGACACAAGAGCGAAGGGGGCGTCCATACAAAACCTGGGCAGGGGAGCGTCCGGTGTAGTTAGGTGTGTTGCGGAGTTCAAGAAGACCCCGGTCGAAGGCCTCGCAGTCAATATTCCCAGAAGGGGCCACCTTAAGGATGAGGTGCTTCAAGGATTTGACAGCAGCCTCAGCGTGGCCGTTGGACTGCGGGTAACGGGGCGATGAAAACACATGCCGGACTCCCTATTGGTCAAGGGACACAGCAAAGTCCCGGCTTGTGAACTGAGGCCCTCCGTCGGTTCGCAGGCATACAGGAACGCCCACGTCACGGAAGTAGTGGCGAAACTTGCTGATGGTGGCGGCAGACGTCGTGTCATTACCGCACTTGATGACTTGTGAAAGAGGCCTAGGGGTACTTGTAAGCCCGGACCTACGGCCTAGAAAACAGTGCGTTAATGTTCGAAATAAGGCAAACAGAGTATTGGGTTTTATATCCAGAAGTGTAAGTAACAAGAGTGCAGAGGTCTTATTGCAACTATATCTTGCGCTAGTTAGGCCGCACCTCGATTATGCGGTTCAGTTCTGGTGCCCCTATTATAGAATGGATATAAATTCACTAGAGTCGGTGCAGCGAAGAATGACAAAAATGATTCAGGGACTTAGAAACCTTCCATATCAGGATAGGTTAAAGAAACTTAACTTGCATTCCCTAGAAAGACGAAGAGTGCGGGGAGATATGATAGAAGTATTTAAGTGGGTGAAAGGAATCAATAAAGGGGATATAGATAAAGTTCTTATAATATCCGAGCAGGATAGGACTCGGAGCAACGGATTCAAGTTGGATAAGTTTAGGTTTAGGAGGGAGATAGGAAGAAACTGGTTCACAAATAGGGTGGTGGACGAGTGGAACAAGCTTAGCAACTTTGTAGTAAGTGCGGGAACTCTGGAAAGTTTCAAAAGGAGGCTAGATAGATTCATGGATGATGGAGAGTGGTAGTAACTCTCGACAGGAGCTGCCATGCACAGGCTAACCGGCCTATTGCAGACTCCTTATTTTCTTATGTTCTTATGTTCTTATAACAAGGAAGGACTTTCCTGACACAGAGAAAAAGTCGGCCGACACAGACTCAAAGGGGCGGGTGGGGTTGTCGTCACTCATGAAAGGTTCCTGCTGCTGGCTGGGTTGTAATACTTGGCAGGGCTCACACGCACGGACAACATTGGAGATGTCGGAGTTGATACCGGGCCAGAACACAGTCTGTCGTGCACGTCGTTTGGTGGCCTCAGCTCCACGGTGACTGTCGTGAAGGCGAGCCAAGACGTGGGGACGTGAGGCAGCAGGGACAACTACACGTGCTCCGTACAGAACAAGGTCTCCGTTGCAGTAGAGTTCATCGCGGAGTTTCCAATATGGGAGCAGGGTGTTGTGAAGGTCGTAGCGGTTGCTAGGAAATCCATTCCTCACACACTCGACGAGTCGGACGTAGGAAGGGTCATCTCGGGCTGCTGTTCGAAGGTCCTCCATTGCCTTGTCGTCATCTGGTGACAGGCCCGAACGAAGGGATTGGACGACGTGTAGAGTGACCACAGTCCTGACGGAAAGAGCGAGGTCGGCGTCGAGCACATGGTCTTCTGGAGTAGGGTGGCTGACAGGAGAGCGGGATAAGGCATCAGGGATGCAGAGCTCCTTACCAGCACGCCACACTGCTGTGAAGACGTACGCCGAGAGCTTCTCTTTCAGACGCTGGAGGCGAGGGTCCTCAACGGCGTCCAGCGTGTAGTGGTTGAGGATCGGGACAAGCGGGCGATGGTCGGTCAATAGGTGAAAGTGTTGCAGGCCTATAAGGTAAAACCTGCACTTGGACATCGCCCAAACCACAGCCAACAGCTCTAACTCAATAGTGGCGTAGCGCGTCTCGGTGTCAGAGAGGAAACGCGAGCCACACTGGACGAGCCGGAACTGCCCTCCACCATGATCCTGCAGTAGGGCGTATCCCACGCCGTACAAGCGTGAGGCATCTGTCTGCAGAACCGTCGGCAAGGCTGGGTCAAACGTGGCGAGGACAGGTGGACTAGACAGGGCCTGTTTCACTTGCTGGAAGGCCTTGTCGTAGTCGGGGGTCCACAGGAATGTCCTCTTGGGGCTCATTAGGGGGCGAAGTGGTTGGGCAGCTGCGGAGATGTCCGACGAAAACTCTGCTAACTGGTTGACGAGACTGATGAAGGACCTCAAGTCGGTGAGGTTAGCAGGGGTGGGAAAATCCGTGATGGCGCGGGCCTTTTCCGTGTCAGCTGCGATACCATTCCCTGAGAGGGTGTACCCACAAAAGTCCACTGAAGAGCTGGCCAGAACAAACTTGTCGGCATTTAGGTTGATGCCGTGCTTCCAGCACCTGTTGAGTACCTCGTAGATACGGCAGAGGTGATCCATGTAATCCTCATCGTACACGAGTATGTCGTCGACCACTTTCACGCAGTTTGCCAGACCTTGTAGAGCCATATCACCTTGAAGACAGAAAGCGTCTCCTGTAGCAGCGAATCCCATGGGGCCACGGCAATAACTGTAACGTCCATGCGGGGTGATGAAAGTTGTAAGTGGTCGGTCTTCTTCGGCAAGCTCTATCTGCCAGTATCCACACAGGGTGTCCATCGTCGTGAAGAAGTGCGCCTTCGGGTTCACACTGCGTATAGCTGCAAAGGGCGTGGGAGAAGGGTGCGCAGGACGAGACACCTGGCTGTTGAGCTTGGAGAGTTCAGTGGTGATCCGAACACCACCTTTGGGTTTTGCGACGACTACCATAGGGTGACACCATGGAGACGGGTCATCACCGGCTGGTGCAATAATTTCTTGGGCGACCATGGAGTCCAGCTCGTTTTTGACCGCCTCGCGGAAGGCCAGGGGGACCAGTCGAGGGGTGTAGATAGCGAACGGCTTCGCGTCGTCCCTCAGGTGGATCCTCATGGGGGGACCTACCATCTTCTTGAGAGGCTTGGATTCCAGAGCGGACTTGGTAACCAGAACGTCGCTGAATTCCTTCAGGAAGTACTTCCGAGCATCCGAAGGAGAGGTGTCACTGGCAAGAGGCAGGGGTAGGGCGGCAGCAGGGTCGTTGCTGCTCCCTTCTTGCACCCTGTTGGCGTGTTTTACCTCGAAAATAGGTTTGGGGAAGCCCTGGGAGATGATGGCCAACTCTTGACAATGTCTGTAGGACAGCAAAGGAGTCGGGACACCGTTATGCACATCAATCCAGGCTTGACACGACCTGTTGCCAAAGGTGACTTGTGCTTGGAGTGAACCTAGGGCTGAGGCCATCTGTGAACCATCTGCCGTGAAGCGGAGATCCTTGGGGGGCGGTCCTACATCACTTGGAGAGAGCCACAAGCATTGCAAATGCTGGGGACCGATGGCTGTAGCATCAGCGCCGGTGTCGGACAACATCTGAAGACGGGATGACACACTGCCGTAGGTCACGATGACACTGATGTACTGGGGGACTTTGGTCCTGGGACGCGGGGGGGAGCACACATTCCTAATATGGCTCGAGCGTTGTCCAGGGTCGTCATGCTTCTGATTGGAAGACTGTGGGCGGCCCTCACTGGTGGAAGGGCGCTGAAGCTTCTGCCGACGCTGTCCCTTGGGTTTGTTGGTAAGGCAACACTTGTCATAGTGGCCCAGACGACTGCACACATTGCACTGGACGCGTTTAGCTGGGCACCGTACTGTGAGTGACCAGTGGCCCTTACGGTCACAACTGTTGCAGGTAGACTCAGCAGCTGGACACACCTGTGTTCCGTGCTGCTTACCACAGTTGTTACAAAATGAACCAGGCGTGGACGTGGTGGGCGAAGGCGTAGGAGCAGACTTCTTGTCCTTCTTGTACCGGGACACAGCGCGTACAACTGTAGGGGGAGCTCGGATGGCAGAGGTGGCACACCTGGCAGCCTCATAGGAGCGACATATCGTCAACACATCCTTAAGAGAAGAGGAAGAGTCGAGGGAGGTGAGGCGTTGGACAAGTTCCTCGTCCTTAACACCCATCAGGATCACCTGCTTCAACTGGGTCTCCTCGCACTGCTGGTGGTGGCCTAGGCATATATCTACCTCTTCCGAGGCTCTCTTGAGTCGTACATAAGAGGCGTCAAAAGTCTCGCCCTCCATCTGTCTGCAGCTAAACAATTCCCTCCTGCGCAGAGCTTCATTCTGCTGTCCTTTGATGTGCCGTTGTAGAATGTCCAGTACCTCCTCTACAGACAAAGAAGAGGTCGGAGGTACCTGCAACGTATGTTCCAAGACACGCTGAGTTTCCAAGGACAGGCACATACGCAGCTGAATGAGTTGTTTAGGCTGTGACAAACTCTGGAGATCCACCATTGTAGCATAATCAGTCCACCGTCGCCGCCATTCACGAAAAGTCTGGAAATTCACATCAGGCTTCAAGATGGGCGGTGTTTGAGCTGCCGCTTTAGGTGGGGCTGGGGGGCGTGAAGGAAGCATTGATGAGGTATCTGAACCAGTCAATACCGAGGCAGTGTTAGAATCAGGGGCTTGGTTAACAGTGAGGCGAGATATCAAGGCTTGAAACCGTGCACTGTCTTCCAATCTCCGTTGGTGGTCTCTTTCTGCTGCTGCTTGTCTTCTTTCTTCGTCCTCCACACGTCTTTTAGCAAAGTCGTGACGCCGTTCATCTCTCATAAACTTCATTAATGCAATTATATCTGGCGACAATGCTGAATATCGAGGTGAAGGGCTGCACGATGTGGTGGAAGCTGGAGCGTCATGGTCAGCCTGGTCATCCATCTCTGTAGAGCTGTCATCCGATTGACTCATCCGGGCGTTGGCTCCACGACTGCGTAAGGCACGAGACATAACTACGTCATCTGTGTACTGTGTCTTAAATCAGTGTTGACCGGTCAGCCCATCGTATCAACAAGATCTCAGACAAAAAATTAATTAAATACACAGATAAGTAGATTATATATATAAAATATATATAGAGGGATAGCCGCAGTCAGTGTGTGTGTATGTGTGTGTGCTGGGCGGGCGAGAGCACTCTCCTCGAGCTGTGAGGGGGGGTGGAAACGACGACTGGTGTCAGTTACCCTCCAGGCATGGCGAGAGGAGGATGCGAAAAACTTTACTCCTTACTAATGCCCAGGATATGCCTTGTACCTTGGGAATCCTTTAGAACAAGGTCACACATTTATGGCACGAAACACACAATGCACTAAACACTTCACAGAAAATCACTGTCACTGACACTGCTCAAAGTTGCTATAAATTCTTGGAGGAGCTGCGGTTGACGCAGAGGACGAGTCCATAAGCCGGCTTCCCACGAACTTTACACTTTCACTCGTAATTATCCAGTAAAAGTACACACTGCGCCATGTACGTGTTCTGGGTATCAAATTCTATCTACAGGAGCGAACAAAAACGCCTGGATAGTTTTCGTAGGTTCTATTTACTGGATAAGAGATATGTACACAAGGGGGTTAGCGCTCCTTACTCTGTCTGGAGGTCAACTGCTCTCTAGGCGACGTATGGTAAGTGATACATAAACAGCTTCCATATGTCGCCAGGCACATTAATTAAGCATGTGGGACATGGTAATTACATTGCCACACGCTGCTAGCTAGGCTGAATAAATAATGTATATAAATGGAGCACATACATAATATACATACATAATATATAATACAGCATACATAATATACATACAAGTAGTGCCTTGTGAGCTTTATAAAATATCCAATCACAAACCCTTAAACCTCCGGACATTACTCACGAAGTTCTCACTAAAAGATCAACTTCTTTTCTCCCTCCTGTAACTATAAGATAGTCACTTTCCCTAACTACTAATTTTGTTCTCTTTTTCCTGACAACCATTTACTTCCCTCCTTACTGATCAAACTACCATTTTTCTACAGGACAAGTTTGGCCCAGCTGTTCGGGGAGGAGGACAGTGCTACTATGGTTGATAAGATCCAGGCGCAGATGCTGGAGGGCAAAGACGTCCATTGTAATGCTATTTCCCCTCGATGTGACGACGTAGGGTACCAAGGCGTCCAGGGGGACGCTTTCGAGAGTTAAGAAGTCTTGCGGTAGCACGTTTGAAGTCCAAGAGTAAGGGCCAGGTCTTTTAGATGAAAGACTTCAGTAGTCCATTTCCTTTTTCCTTCGTCCTGGAACTTCAGTGTGACGAACATGATCAATTGTGGATCGTGTTGTGACAGGACTTCATAGTTCGGGCATTCGAGTATCTATGGGAAGATCTTCCAGAGTTAGGACACCCAGAGTAGATCTTTCAGAGTTAGGGCATCCAGAGGCAAGTCGTCCAGAGTTAGGCCATCCAGGGCAGATCTTGCAGAGTTAGGGCATCCGGAGGCAAGTCGTCCAGAGTTAGGCCATCCAGGGCAAATCTTGCAGAGTTAGGGCATTCAGGGCAGATCTTCCAGAGTTAGGGCATTCAGGGCAGATCTTCCAGAGTTAGGCCATCCAGGGCAAATCTTCCAGAAACAAGACATCCTAATACAGGCCTTCCAGAACTTTCAAGACCAGTGTCACACATTCAAGATCTTTTCGTTCTCTTCTTTCACGACAGTTGGCTAGGGTAATTTACCCCTATTTAGGAATCGCTGCTGTATATTGTTTGAGCTATCGTTAATGTTATTTATATTACCTGAGATATATATTGTATTCACAGTTTTAAGGTATTTATAAGATGTCTCCAGTTGTTTCTGATATATATATATATATATATATATATATATATATATATATATATATATATATATATATATATATATATATATATATATATATATATATATATATATATATATATATATATATATATTAAAGGAAGAAAATAGTGTCTACAGTATATGTATTGTATATTTTCTTATAAAGGCCTGAATGTTCAACTTTTATAATACATACAGTATCAAAGCTTTTATTTTTAATTATCCTTATACTGTGTATTAAAATAATTATATACTGTATGTGTATGCTGTACAGTATATGCACGAATGTTTAAGAGTATACGAATATGTAGTGGCGTCAGTAGCCCTCTGCCGATTTTGTCTTACAAAAAGATAAGTGAAAATCTGATTGTTTTCTCCTCATATATTCTTGTACATTTATTATGATATTTGTTTTCTTTTAGTATAATCTGCCACTTTTCGTCATATTGAATTCTATAGTCCTATCCCGTATTTCTTTCCTCAGGATGTTTTATTTTGCTTATATCAGGAATTAGTTGATTTACCTCTCTCAGTGAGATAGGAAAAGAGAAGTATCGATAAATGAACAAATTGATAAAAAGATAGATAGATCTATTTTGTGCCTGCATTATCCTATTTCTTATTGACATATAGATGGATAGATTAATGTATTTGGATCTCTTAAACGGACTTTACAGGTACACTATTTTTAATAACTAACTTATGTTACCGCAAGCAGTAATAAGGAGGATAACCCTTAAACAAATATTATGTTAAGTTGTAAGTCATGTCATGTTTAGTGGGCGTGCCTGACCGTATATAGAGTATTTAGTTAGTGAAGTTACAGAGACAAGACGTAGTATGATGTTGTGTGGCAGTAGGGAGGGACTTGTTTGTATATAAAACACCTGACGCAGAAACATGTGTCGGCCCAGGCAGGTCTGCTACGAGCGGCTCCAACACTCTAGCTGATACCATCAGAGGGTGAACACCAAACCTATTCAGTTTGAGACCTTCAACACGTAAGTTAAACTTGTACTTAAGTATACTCAGGTAGGCTGTGTACTTTGTATTGTTTATCGTTGTGACAACATGGAAATATGGCAATTAGACATTTATCTATGATTACCTACGTATGATTTATTATTTGAAATACTAAGAATGAATTGTGTTCAACAGGTTTGACCGAATTATATTATTCGAGTTCAACGTGACTGGTCTTATTATCCCATAATCGCTCAGGCGGTCATATATCACTTACACGTAATGTTAATTTAGTATGGAACATCAACAACATTATCTGTTTTTTGAAGTTATACTACATATTTACGAATTTTGGAAATGTTTTGGAAAATTTCGATTGATGAGATGATGAGTATACTCGTACTGTATCAGTGTACCAAGATCCTGAGAATGCAGTTCCAATAATGTTTGTGACAAAGACTGCATATTCACGTTTCAATTCAAAGTTTTCTAAAATAATGAAGGTTTTGTATCAAGATTTATGTTTATTTTGGATCATATGGTTCCATTCCATGAGATTTATACTTTGTTTACTCCAAGTTTGTAACTTATCTAAATCAAATGAAGTTCGTAATTGGTTGAGTCACGCTGTGTTATTTATTTAATTAATTTATTACATCCCAGAGGGGACATGCCAAGTCACAGGTCAAGCACTAATAGCAAAGACCATCTAAAGAAAGACAGTAAAGGTCCGAAATAAGGTGTAGAAAAGGCGTACTGATTACCCTCAAGTTCCTTCGTCCGCTTCATGAGGGCGCTAGTGTGGAACTGCATCAAAGCTGCATGTTTACTGTACATCTGTGAATCAGCTGATTGCTACCCGAATGATGTTAGTTGAAGACAACCATGGTTGGTGGAGGGCATCCCTGTGTTATGAGTTGAAGACAACCATGGTTGGTGGAGGGCATCCCTGTGTTATGAGTTGAAGACAACCATGGTTGGCGGAGGGCATCCCTGTGTTATGAGTTGAAGACAACCATGGTTGGCGGAGGGCATCCCTGTGTTATGAGTTGAAGACAACCATGGTTGGCGGAGGGCATCCCTGTGTTATGAGTTGAAGACAACCATGGTTGGTGGAGGGCATCCCTGTGTTATGAGTTGAAGACAACCATGGTTGGCGGAGGGCATCCCTGTGTTATGAGTTGAAGACAACCATGGTTGGCGGAGGGCATCCCTGTGTTATGAGTTGAAGACAACCATGGTTGGCGGAGGGCATCCCTGTGTTATGAGTTGAAGACAACCATGGTTGGCGGAGGGCATCCCTGTGTTATGAGTTGAAGACAACCATGGTTGGTGGAGGGCATCCCTGTGTTATGAGTTGAAGACAACCATGGTTGGCGGAGGGCATCCCTGTGTTATGAGTTGAAGACAACCATGGTTGGCGGAGGGCATCCCTGTGTTATGAGTTGAAGACAACCATGGTTGGTGGAGGGCATCCCTGTGTTATGAGTTGAAGACAACCATGGTTGGCGGAGGGCATCCCTGTGTTATGAGTTGAAGACAACCATGGTTGGCGGAGGGCATCCCTGTGTTATGAGTTGAAGACAACCATGGTTGGTGGAGGGCATCCCTGTGTTATGAGTTGAAGACAACCATGGTTGGTGGAGGGCATCCCTGTGTTATGAGTTGAAGACAACCATGGTTGGCGGAGGGCATCCCTGTGTTATGAGTTGAAGACAACCATGGTTGGTGGAGGGCATCCCTGTGTTATGAGTTGAAGACAACCATGGTTGGCGGAGGGCATCCCTGTGTTATGAGTTGAAGACAACCATGGTTGGCGGAGGGCATCCCTGTGTTATGAGTTGAAGACAACCATGGTTGGCGGAGGGCATCCCTGTGTTATGAGTTGAAGACAACCATGGTTGGTGGAGGGCATCCCTGTGTTATGAGTTGAAGACAACCATGGTTGGCGGAGGGCATCCCTGTGTTATGAGTTGAAGACAACCATGGTTGGTGGAGGGCATCCCTGTGTTATGAGTTGAAGACAACCATGGTTGGCGGAGGGCATCCCTGTGTTATGAGTTGAAGACAACCATGGTTGGTGGAGGGCATCCCTGTGTTATACGCAGAAGAAAAGATACTCATCCGGAATTTATATACCATCGCTTTCGAAAAGATACACAAATGTAAGTATGGTGCGTCTCTGTACAGTACAACATCTAATAATGGACGAGTTGACGGTCGGAATTTTTCCGTAAGATAGCAGGTCAATGGGTAAAGAAAACGCTTAAATAATAAGTTGCTAAAAAGTCACGTGACTGTGAAAAGCTCTGTGGTTGGTTGTATCGTCACTGACTTTCCAAGTTTAGAAGCTCCAAAAGTTGTTGGTAGCGAAAGTCAGAGCGGGGAAGATGACAGAGGAAGGAGCAGGAGGTTAGGAAGGGAATTGTAGTGGGAGAGATAGTGCCGTGGCTTTACACGACTGCGTTTATTTGGTTAGCGCATAGCGCACGTATTTGGTTTTGTCTGTGTTGGGTGTGTGATCCTCGGGTCACCACTCCTCCGGATTGTGTTAGTTCCAAGTTTAGAAGCTCCAACAACTTTCCCTGAATACGAATTCGCAACCTTTCGATTTACAACAGGTACCTACTTTACTGCTAGATGAACAGGGACCAAGGGGGCTAGGAAGAGTCTCCAAACAACTTCCGCTTGCCCGGGAATCGAACCCGTAACATCTTGCTTGCGAGGCAATAGCGGTACCACTTCTACCCCAAGCCCTCTCTGTCACTCACTAGTGCGAGCCGCAGAGCAGGAGCCTCGAGGCAGCCAGCTGTGGCGTATGTGTTGTTACCAGCAGAAATACAGGACTTGTGGCCATATGCAATGTTGATATACAGAGGCATACCTTATTTTCATGTTAAAATAAATTACTGCTCAAGTACCATCGTGTGTATTTACTTGCTGGGTACCAAAATGATGCAAAAGACAGATAACTCCAACATGGAAGTTTTTATCACTGTTTTCTATTTCATGTCTGAAAAATATAAGGTTTCGTCACTGATGTCCATATTTAATGTTGTGGAAGGACTGGGGACGACCATGGCCTAGAGGATGGGCTTGAGATGATCAGATGACAGATGTAATTTAACGCGCTTCATAGCTGGATGGCGGAGTTCTTGATAATACTCTACTATCATAATCACATCTACTTTTGGTAAATTTCTTTCGTCTGCCTTGATGAACCCTGGAAGTAGTTGTCCAACCTTCTCGGCTAATCGGCTCTGTAAATAAATATTATTAGATAATTAATTGTGCTTTACTGTGCAACACAGCAATGCTATATTTGATATATAAATATTACTGAGCACATTAACTAATTTAATAGATATTAGCTGCCCCTACTACAAATTTCATAGTTCAAACATTCCAAACAATATTGGTATTATTTTGGTTTTGGTCATCTGGGGAACCTTAAGATTCTAACTATGGGATTAAGTACTTTAAACTGTAAGACAAATTATCTCTACAGGATATCTGTTGCAAAATTTGTTTCTATCGCATAAGAAAATACAGATCATATGTTAGGTTAGGTCTGGTTAGGGTATGTTGAGTTATAAGATTGGGGGGGAGTAACTCAAAACTAGTGATTTCCGATAGAGATGAAGGTCTAAATCGTTCATAACACATCGCAAACCATCAGAAAAACAATCTCTGCATGTCTAAGTACAGGGATGACCAAAACTTAAAATTTACCCAACAGAGCCTATCTCGAATTTAAGCATCCAAATACTTATGGTAGTTAAAGTAAAATTTCACCCATTATTTAATATAAATGATGATATATCCCAGTGGGTCACTAGTGAATCATCAAAACAATAACAGCACTATGTTGTTAAACTTCATTTTAGTTCATTGTCCCTTTATTTCTTAGTAGTTTTTATGTGAAGTGTTTCAAAGGTAGCTTATATACAGCTTTTTCTGCAAACTGAAGATAGTAGTTATTGTAGTTTCATAGAAACAATCTGAAGGAAGGCCCTTGGCATGTGTGCCAAACATGAAATGAAAAATATACCTTTCAAGGCACTCTAATTCACATACAAAATATCTTGGTATGACTTGGACCAAGGTATAACAAGCTATTCCGCCAAGTATCCAAGAAGTGCCCATTACTCATTTGTGTGTGCCAACAGTAATCTACATAGGATCTTTGGTAGTGGATTAATGATTTACAGCCAAATCTTTCATAGTTAAATAATAACTGGCATCCTGTGTACCGCTGGTAAGGCAGTGGGCTCGAAACACACGTCTTGCCCGCGGTGCCCACCGTTTCTCTGTGGATGTCTGTCACACTTAGCCCAAATAGGGTAAATTACCCCACTGGGGGTAATTTCGCATTCAACGGGGGTAACGACAGCCTTTAGGAAAGTTTAGGTGAAAGGAAAAAACATTAAATACAGACACACAAATATTCAAATGTATCATTATTAACAATGATTTAAATCTCCGCGTATGTCCAATACCACTCATCGCCAATCCTTCGCCTCAGAGAAGGGAAGGGGTGGGGTGGTATGACAGAGGGCGGGGCAAGAAATAGGGAAACGTAACGGGTTTTTTCATGACTTAAGAACATAAGAACATAAGAAAATAAGGAATCTGCAATAGGCCGGTTGGCCTGTGCATGGCAGCTCCTGTCGAGAGTTACTTCCACTCTCTATCATCCATGAATCTATCTAGCCTCCTTTTGAAACTTTCCAGAGTTCCCGCACTTACTACAAAGTTGCTAAGCTTGTTCCACTCGTCCACCACCCTATTTGTGAACCAGTTTCTTCCTATCTCCCTCCTAAACCTAAACTTATCCAACTTGAATGTTGTTCGAGTCCTATCCTGCTCGGATATTATAAGAACTTTATCTATATCCCCTTTATTGATTCCTTTCACCCACTTAAATACTTCTATCATATCTCCCCGCACTCTTCGTCTTTCTAGGGAATGCAAGTTAAGTTTCTTTAACCTATCCTGATATGGAAGGTTTCTAAGTCCCGGAATCATTTTCGTCATTCTTCGCTGCACCGACTCTAGTGAATTTATATCCATTCTATAATAGGGGCACCAGAACTGAACCGCATAATCGAGGTGCGGCCTAACTAGCGCAAGATATAGTTGCAATAAGACCTCTGCACTCTTGTTACTTACACTTCTAGATATAAAACCCAATACTCTGTTTGCCTCATTTCGAACATAAAGTGGAGGAACAATAATTTGTACTATTATCATCGATGGAAGCGAATAAGAGAGAGAGAGAGAGAGAGAGAGAGAGAGAGAGAGAGAGAGAGAGGGAGAGGGAGAGAGAGAGAATTAAATTACTAAACAAACTCCACCCCACCTGAGGGACTGTGTGGTCAGCTGTTCCTCAGTACACTGGAGTCTCGCTTCTATAGGTTTAAACAAGAGGTGCTGTATGTGATTTAGTACAGTCAGGGCAATGACGGTGGTATTTGGTACAGTCAGGGGTAGTAATGATGGTATTTGGTACAATCAAAGGTAGTAATGGTAGTATTTGGTACACTCAGGGGTTGTAATGGTGATATTTGGTACATTCAGAGGTAGTAGTGATGGTATTTGGTACAGTCAGGGGTAGTAATGGTGGTATTTGGTTCAGTCAGTTGTAGTAAGTGTGGTATTTGGTACTGTCAGGGGTAGTAATGGTGGTATTTGGTACAGTCAGGGGTTATGATGGTTGTATTTGGTACAGTCAGGGGTAATAATGATGGTATTTGGTAAAGTCAGGGGTAGTAATGGTGGTATTTGGTACAGTCTGGGGTAGTAATGATGGTATTTGGTACAGTCAAGGGGTAGTAATGGTGGTATTTGGTACAGTCAAGGGTAGTATTGGTGTTATTTGGTACAGTCTGTTGGAGTAATTTGGTGGTAGTAATGGTGTATTTGGCACAGTCAGGGGTAGTAATGGTAGTATTTGGTACAGTCAGGAGTAATAATGGTGGTATTTGGTAGAGTCAGGGGTAGTAATTGTGGTATTTGGTACAGTTAGGGGTAATAATGGTGGTATTTGGTAGAGTCAGGGGTAGTAATGGTGGTATTTGGTACAGTCAATGGTAGTAATAGTGGGATTTGGTAAAGTCAGGGGTAATAATGGTGGCATTTGGCACAGTCAATGGTAATAATGATGGTATTTGGTACAGTCAGGGGTAGTAATGGTGGTATTTGGTACAGTACTGTCAAGGGTAATAATGGTGGTATTGGTACAGTCAAGGGTAGTAATGGTGGTATTTGGTACATTCAGGTATAATAATGGTGGTATTTGGTACAATCAGGGTAATAATGGTGGTATTTGGTACAGTCAGGGGTAATAATGGTGGTATTTGGTACAGTCAAGGGTAGTAATGGTGGTATTTGGTACAGTCAGGGGTAATAATGGTGGTATTTGGTACAGTCAAATGCAGTAATGGTGGTATTTGGTACAGTCAGGGGTAATAATGGTGGTATTTGGTGCAGTCAAAGGTAGTAATGGTGGTATTTGGTAGTCAGGGGTAGTAATGGTGGTATGTGGTACAGTCAAAGGTAGTAATGGTGGTATTTGGTACAATTAGGGATATTAATGGTGGTATTTGGTACAGTTAGGGGTAGTAATGGTGGTATTTGCTACAGTCAAAGGTAGTAATGGTGGTATTTGGTACAGTTAGGGAGATTAATTGTGGTATTTGGTACAGTTAGGGGTAGTAATGGTGGTATTTGGTACAGTTAGGGGTAGTCATGGTGGTATTTGGTACAGTTAGGGGTAGTAATGGTGGTATTTGGTACAGTTAGGGATATTAATGGTGGTATTTGGTACAGTTAGGGGTAGTAATGGTGTTATTTGGTACAGCTAGGGGTAGTAATGGTGGTATTTGGTACAGTTAGGGGTAGTAATGGTGGTATTTGGTACAGTCAGGGAAATGTATATAGATCATGCGTGAATTCACATCCATATACGACTGCAAGGGATGACTTAAAGCGCGATCCATGTGCACCTAACACACTGTTAGCTTAGCCAACCAGTAGCGCGGCGGTCAACCCGCCTCCTTCCTCCTCCTCATAAATTTCTTCAATTTCCGAACTATAACTCCCTTCCCTCCACCTCTAATCTCTTTTCTCCCCATCTTTACTTCTGCACTGCGACACTGCCACATCTTGACTGGGGATACGACACAGGGTATAGATACACCTTTCCCTGACTCTACTAGTATTTAATCGAAGAAGTATTTATTATTATTGTTATTATTATTATTATTATTATTATTATTATTATTATTATTATTATTATTATTATTATTATTATTATTATTTGTATTATTATTATTATTATTATTATTATTATTATTATTATTATTATTATTATTATTATTATTATTATTATTATTATTATTATTATTATTATTATTATTATTATTATTATTATTATTATTATAGTAAAGATGAACAAGACTTAAAGATAAAAGTTGAAGAAGTAAATGAACTGTATGACCGAAGGGATAATAGAAGTAACGAAGAGAAGACGAAAAAGAACATAGAAAAGAAAAAAAAAAGATAATAAAGAAAAGAGAAGAGATAAGATAGGAAGCGTCTTGTATCTGGAGAAAATATTGGCTCAGTAAACAAAAATATCCCACAAAACAACTGAACCATATTAAAGGGTATTAACATCTGTTCTTAAACACCCAACACCGAAAGTACACATATAACTAAAGATATTGTACATCAACATTAACCTATAGAACTATGGTTAAGACACCGAATTTGCGTGAATACATCTGGTGGGCGCAACTTGAATTTCACCTGCGACTCATTATTGACTGGGTAAGCAGTGGCCAGTGAATGTAAACACAGGAATACAGGTAAGAGGTTCATCAGGAGGCGTGTGTTTAACTGTGTTGGTTTGGAAGTGATGGCGAACGCATGGTTCTCCTCCCGCTGTTCCTCCTCCTCCAAGAGTTTTGTGACTGGTTTGGACGTCCCCACGAGAGCCCGGTGCATCGTCTGTGCTTTCTGCCGTAGTAAGGGAAGAAGAGGTGATGTGTATTGATGGATGTGAAGAGTGGTCTTTAGTCCATCATTTACTGCTATTCCCGCTTTAGTAAAGGAAAAAACTGAACATCAGGAGAGTTAGCTTTTGCATCGTTTGTTGGTACGTGTTCTTGGTGCTTTTTCTGCCCCTTCTGCTGCAGTGGGAGACGACATGTGTATGTGTGTATTAGGAGATGTGATAAAATACGCCTGATGCCTGTTCTCTGATACCTGTTGTAGTTAAGGAAGAACTGAGCACCAAGAGAGTTGAGTTAGTTGTTGCCTTAAGACGAACACCTGTGTCTTCTCCCCCCTCACCCTCCTCCGTCTCCTGTCTCTGCTGAGGAAAAAGTATTCATCAAAGGACGTGTTATTATTGTTCCTCCACTGGACGTGCTAACGGACACCTGGGTATCCCTTTACGCCTTCGTCGAGAGGGTTACCATCTGTGTCTTTCTGGAGGTGTTCGCTAACGCTGAAGTCTTCCTCCTTCTGCTGCACTTGCTATAGTGAGGGAAACATTGAAAAAAGTCTGCCAAGTCCGGTTATATACAAAGGTAAGAGAGAGAGAGAGAGAGAGTCTCAGGCAAGACATTCTGTACATCTTTGTAAACGAAATACGGAGAAAACGTCGTTATTATTATTATTATTATTATTATTATTATTATTATTATTATTATTATTATTATTATTATTATTATTATTATTATTATTATTATTATTATTATTATTATTATTATTATTGTTATTATTATTATTTACCTGTTGTCACTGTTGTCACTGTTGTTAGGTATGTTAATTAGACACTTGTTATAATTCCTACCATAAAAGAATGTACTGTACAGTCCCCATAAAAGCGTCGTTAGATTTTCCGTCGCTACAATTTGAAACGCTAGACAAAATGCTTCGATATGATCCCCAGTGCATCATCATTTTAATTGGTATGCCTGCTCGCTATATCAGCAACTGCTAGAGATGGGATAGAATAAGTGGAGGGGTCTTCTTGTATGGCATACTAAATACTTCATTATAACAAGAAATCCATTAACTTATATTAATGATATTAATATATGTATCGTGTAGGGTAAAAACAAGGCATACAGTATATAAACAAGCCACTGACTGATGATTACAAAAACACTGAAATATACTGTACATTAAATGGAAATGCTGTATTTCAGAACATCATAACTGAGACTGAGACAGACCTCAAAACGGACATTTCGCCATGACGTCATTGTATTAACGGAGTTTCATTCATAGTGAGTTTCACATTATGCCTACTTACGTTGTTCACGATATGTCTGATTTATAAAAAGTGATTAAGTAAACAGTATTTGATATCAGAATGAACAGCTACAGCAATATACACTATATCGGTCTACATGGGATCTGCCATGATACTGATATGTAAATTGCATTGGTTTAGCACCGAATAAGGTTTCAAATCAAGGGACTTGCGGGGACAGAACCCCCCATCCACATATAGTGAAACGCTTGTGGTTGCAAGTTTCAGTGTGTCACCAGTTGTTTCATGGTGCCTAAACCATCATGACACTTGGGGTTCTCGCCGTACTGTCTCAGCGTTACGTATACCCTCGTTGTGAAGGGGAATGATAGCACCTTGCACATCTTGCTATGTCCCCCCGATAATATCCTCGCTCCATTCGAGGTTAGATCCCATTGATGACTGGCATGGCGTTGGTGTCAATTTACAGCATCCACTCCGAGTCATGTAATATATGATCTGAAGCCTCGGAGGATTCACATTGTTGGAAAACATATACTGTACAGTACTCATCCACGCTCTAAGGTTGCGGATGTTGAACTACCAACCATTCAGAAACAGGTCGAGTAACAATGCTCGCAAAGCCTCAAATGTAACAATGCCATGTTTTTTGGAGTAAATTGTGTCATGTTTTAGAGGAAATACATAAATTCTGCTTAGACAAAGATTATCCGCCATAACACACTACACGACAGCGTCCCCGTCAAAACCAGGAGTGCCTGAGGAATTAGCCAATCACAGTGACCTGTGAGTGTGACATCATAGGCCTAACTGTGATGATTGGCTGGAAGCTGAGTTCGTGCCCCAGCAAGGGGACACTCGGTTTTCAAACACAGAATCTGGTTAGAGGTAGTGAAGCATGGTATTAATATATCTTAGTGTACCCTTAATGTTGTATCCATTTCACGAAATGTATTGCGATTTATGTGACCCCTGTTTAACTAGCTAGGAGAATAGGTTTATTGTTTTTAAAGTGCAACTGTCCATTCTGAGTAACGCTGTTAATAAGCGAAGAATCATATGATTAGTTCTCATTTCCCTTGTGTATGGAGTAGAGTATATCCTCCTAAGTGTCTTGGTGTTATGCAGTGATACACTGACCCATTAGTAATAACCATTGCCAGTGTCCTCTAGTATCTCAGTTATCACATGTTATTCCTATTCCCAGTTATTCCCTCCTCCTCAGTCTCCCCTCATCCTTCCCTCCCTACTTTCCCTCAGTGTGGTGGAAGGTTGACCATACGGAGTGACTACCTGCACCTCTCCCTCTCACATTCCATAGCCACCCTCTTCCTCTTCCTAAATCCTCCCACCTCACCTCCCCTCTATCTCACGAGTATAAAGAGAAGACAGAAAATATAGTAATAAGAACTAAGAAGAAGAAATAAAAAGGTAAAATAAAAACGTTTATTACACGAATCACATCGACCCCCATGGCTAGCGATACTTTTTGGGACTGTACAATAATACTATAAATCAGTTTATGAAATCAAACTACCATTTTTAATTCTGTAAGACAAAATGTTAAAAAAGGCTATAATATTAAACTAAACAGGTAAAATATTACCTAAGGCTATGTCCCATGTACGAACGTCCTGCGGCATCGAGTGATCATGGCGTAGACGTGCGACCTACTTTCCAAAGCAACCTGGGTCCCACCTGCCAGTGTCTGTCAGCGTAAACATGCCGTCTATGCAGCGCAGACGTTTGCTGGTACTTTTAGAAAAAAATGCTTTTCAACGTGTGGTACCTGCAGAGGTACCCAGGAAAAATCATCACTATCTCTACAAGGAATGGGTACAGCGTTACTAACTTGCCAGATGTGTCTGTATCCTAACCTAATTCTGGCCACGACTACATCCCATACCGGAACACTCAGCATGTAAACTTTGTGATAAACCTTTAAAGCATACACTTGAACACTATATTATTGAATGTGACACTGTCAAAGACTTCAGGCCACCTGACTTATTGTATCTTGAACTATGTAATTACTTCATTGAATCAGGTGTGCTTGAGGACATTCTTGCTGTTTATCCCAAATTTGCTAGCCCACACTGATTAGTCTTCAATTAGAATATGACTCCAATGTATGTGATCCACTGACCTATATATGCTGCTGGTGAATGTGATGTATTTCCTTCTTTGTGTACGAACCTCTGTCCTGCGTGGCAGTGAACAGTGGCATTACCCACATGAATCTGACCTATATATAGTGTCAATGAATATGATGCATTCTTTGTGTACGAACCTCTGTCCTGTATGGCAGTGGAAAGTGACATTACCCACATGAATCTGACCGACGTATATGTATGTATGTGTGCGTGTGTGCATGTATATGTGCATGTACGTGTATATGTGTATGTATATACGTATATGGATGTATATGTGTGTGTGTGTGTGTTTACATATATGTATATGTACTGTCAATGAATATGATGCAACTCTTTGTGTACGAACCTCTGTCCTGCATGGCAGTGAACAGTGACATTACCCATATGAACCCGACCTATATACATTTATAGTTTTTAATGAAAATGATGTATTTCTTTGTGTGTGAACCTCTGTCCTGCGTGACAGTGAGAAGTGATACCACCCTCAGTGTCAAGACCTGACTGAATTATTCAGAATAGGCAAACTGTACTACAATCTCTGCCAATAAATTTGTTAAACAAAAACAATCTACAAGGAACTTCGCCAAGATCAAACGAAGTTTCACGAGTACACCAGAATGTATTCTATTTGAGGATGAGGCCTACCCACTCTGTGTATATTTGTTGAAACCATATCCTAGGAATGTTCTGAACAAAGAAGAAAAATAATTGCAGATTGTCACGTGCCAGGCGTGCTGTAGAGTGTGCATTTGGAATTTTTACAAGTAAATGGAGAATTTTAAATAGAGTTATTGAAACAAAGGTAGATACTGCTGTTGACATTGTAAAGTGTGCTACACTTTTCCATAATATTATCATTGACACAGAGGGGTCTGGATGCAAAGTGATACGCAATTCAAGATTGTACAGTTGAGAATAACACAGCACCCTCTTGAATAAACAATGCTTCACATCTTTCTGCAAGGAAAGTGAGAGAAACATTTTGCAGCTATTTATGTATTCAACAAGGATCTATTTCTTTTCAAGATCAAGCTGTTAACAGTGGGAAATTAATTTATAAATTTCTTTAGTTTTGGTGTAGAATGCGAGGACTCGCGAGACTGAGGTAGCGACGATCAAAATATTTTATCACTGCTTCCAGGTAGCGCGTTGGTTGCTCACGAACGCTTCACATGTGTATGTGGGACACATCAAAGAAAATACATGCATGTCCACTACACCAAGGTGTAGTGGACACCATTTACTCGTGTGGTTGCTCGATGCCGCAAGACGCTCGCACGTGGGACATAACCTAATAGTTGTAAATTATTGGTCAAATGAATATAGTACATAGATTAGAGAGTAATAACAACGTCATTGTGTAGGAAGATATCATTAATTCCTCACACGTTCAGTTACTAGACACTATTGAAATATCATGAACACAAAATGGTATTCAAAGACCCTTACTGGCTGATGATGATGATGATGATGATGATGATGATGATGTATAATCTTAAAATCAGTTAAATAATCATAAGTAATTATATAATCCCTTGTTATTCATTTTATACAACACTGAGTTATGATGAAAGAAGGTTATGTGGTTTAATTACCACATATATAATTAATTCTTGCCAATGTCGTCGCCACACAGATGAGAAGGTCTCATGGATTATCTGATCAGGCGGCAGGAGGGATGTTTCTGATGATGTTGATGCAGAAGGCGATGCTGGAGGTGGTAGTAGTAGTAGTGGTAGCGGGTGGTGGTCTGGCTGCCTCAGAGTTTTACCCCATCGCTCCTGAAGATGAGATCACGTGAGTGTGTTGTCGATGTTATAATGTATACTTGCATTTTTTTACAGCTAAAGTTTTCATGAGCATATTTTAGCTCAGCAAATATATTAACCATAAACAATTGGAAAAAAAAATATTATACATTTCTCTGGTTGTCTGAGTGTCTGAAAGACGAGTAATTGTTATACTTGTGTTTTTGTATTACATGGATGCAACTGTAGTAAATCTGTTAAAATATATTATTATACTTTCTCTTCTTATCATTATTATTGACAGGGTGTTACAAGATACATACGAGCCTCGAGTTGGACTGCCGAGCAAGATAAAAGGAACAGGAGGACCTCTCGGGGGTAGAGACACACCTCAGATTATGAACGCTGATCTTTTATATAGTTCCTCCTCCATTGGTGACCTGGATTTGTCCTTCAACGAGGTGGTTACCAGCAGGTCTTCAGTCTCTACACCTCCCGCACACGACTCTCTGGCTAACTGGACTCGACTGAAAGGCATCTTCACCAACATGAAGTCGATCCTGACGAAGATCAATGAGGCGGGCACTGAACCGGGTCACGTACCTATTTCGGTGCTCGACCAGATTTTGAAGGTCGAGGATTACTTCGTCATGGCCGAAATCTTCTATAACTCCTTGGATCCTGAACTTCATGAACACTTTAAACAGCTCTATGACCGTTTTATGCAGTTTCTCTTCAGGAACCCCTTGTTACGGACGATCCAGCTTCCAGACATGAGGGCGATAAAGGAAGAACTCTTTCCTCTCCTACTGATCAAAGTGGGACACTTATTTCACCAACAAGCGATAACTTTCGTTCACGAGGTCGACTTTGTTTTTGAGATGATGAAGTCTTCTGGGTTTAAAAATGAGGAGATATACCTAATCTTTGAGCTGCTTGGTCTGTCCTCGATGTTAGAGGAGGAAGAACATCCAGTCAAAACCTGGACGGCAAAATCTAAACAAGCCAGGGATATAAGCGATCAATTTAGTTCTAACATAGGATTCAGGAGGGACTCGCACGGAGGATACGGGTACTCTGATGGTGGATACGGGTATCCTGATGGTGGATACGGGTACTCTGATGGTGGGTACGGGCATTCTGACGGTTATGGTGGTAGTGGTAGTCCCAGTGGATATGGCGGAGGATACCATTCTGGAGGGTATGGTGGGTATGGTGGATACATGCAATATATGCCCAAGGTCGACCCCTTCGTTATCCTGGCTGGTCTCACCTTCCTCACCCTCTGCTCCTACCTCACCTACCTCGTCGTATCCAGCAAGACCAGCAAGCGCAGCTTATCTGAGTTCCCTCACTCCCTCGATCTTTCAGACCTGCCCGACCTTTTAGCTTTAGTAGAGGACGCCCACAACTTCTACTCGTATGACGCCCTTAACCAAGTGAGTAAAGCTGGGAGGTGAACATATGGGAGGTGAACACCTGTCTTGACTATACAGTACAAAATGACTTAATTTTCCATTAGGTGATAATGATCGATGTTTCTGCCTATACTTGTCTCTTTAAATGTCCCAAGAAATCCAACAATATTTATTAAAAATTTTCCGAAACTACAGTATATAGTTTTTATGACTAGATTGGTTTTTTTTCAGCTAAATTATATCGTTTTCTAATTGGATTTTAATATGGGTATTATTATAAGAAAACTAGGTCAATTAATGGCAGGAATATTTTAAAGGAACTCATTGCGTGACCATTCTGGCTTTTGGCCGTAAACGTTGACCTCTGACCTTAATTCATTTGAAATTGCAAATCTCATTTCTTTGTTCTGGGCTCAGACCACTCGACCAATCTCCGTCTACTTTGATGTCCTTAGCAGCCAGTAACCACTTATTCCTGTTATTTCTATTAGCATTACAAAAACAGTTCTCTCCTTTAACACCGTAAACAAGAAGCTAACCATCCATCTCCTCTCTCACCCCTGCAGGACCCCGACGACCCGACACAGTCCCTCTCCCTCGCCTTCAACAACCTGTGGAGATCCTACAAAAGGGGACCTGAGTCTGGGATATGTGTGAGAAGGTTCCTATGCCAGCAACTCCATAACCTCCCCTACCTCCTGGGTCCTGAGATGTCCTTCATGCAGCTGAGTGTGTAAGTCCCATCCTAAATCTCCTGTAAGGTCCAGATTCAGCTAGAGTTATGTGGTGACTTTTTCCCCCTTTAGTTTACATTCTCCTCACTTATGGTACCACACTGATGTTTATGTTTTTTTTTATGTGAGAAGTAGTGTTTTACTGAAGATACGAGACAGAAGGATTTTTAAAGATACCTAAGTTAATTTATTCCCCTTAACTACAGATATGAGAAAGTATGATACTCTCTCTCTCTCTCTCTCTCTCTCTCTCGCTCTCTCTCTCTCTCTCTCTCTCTCTCTCTCTCTCTCTCTCTCTCTCTCTCACCTCTAGTACACTCTCTATCTCTCTTTTCACCTCAAAATTTTTATCTCTATCTCTTTTCTATTCATACCTTTTATCATCCCTTCCTTTATCTCTCTTTCCCCCTCTCTCACACACACACATCAGGGAGTGGATGCAGGAAGCCTTCAGGGTGGAGGAGGGTGGCACCACATCTCCATATTCAGGTGGTTGATTCATTTGATAACAGTATACAGTATATTGCTATCTCAGCGTGTATTAATATTCATGTGATAATGAGTGCATGACGAACACCAATACATCACTGTCAGCTTCTTGTAATTACACAAATACAATAGTTATTAGTGAAGTATGATTCAGGAGATAATCTTGAAGTCGTACATGTCTTGTCATTCAGTGTCAAAAGTGTCATGTAGTGCTTGACTATACGCCCCAAAATGTGGATCAACATGCTCATTAGTAACTGTGATGAGATTATGAACATATTTGAGAATGATAAAAAACTAAATTCTCAATCCTATATTTTTAGGAAGCCAATAAACCTGAACAATTAATAAATATCACAATACTAAAATATTATAAAAACCTGAGTTAGAACGAGAATATGAAAAAAAGAGCTAAATATTGAAGGCTGTTTTTGGGAGGTCGAAATATTTTTGTTGCAGAACTGAATATGAACTCGATAAAAGAATTCAGTAAACTTGATCATAAGAATTAAAACATTTTAATTCTCGAACTTCAATTGGAATTTTACGAATTATCTATTAAATATAGTAAACAAAATCTCAAGGCAAAATATTTCGTGTTTTGGTATTAAAATTTTCTATGCTTTGAAAATGGAAATTAAGGTACTGGACCTACTGTCAGTTATATGCCCTGTCTGTCTGTCTGTCTGTCTGTCTGTCTGCCTGTCTGTTTCTCTTTCTAACATCTCCCCGTCTCTCTCTCTCTCTCTCTCTCTCTCTCTCTCTCTCTCTCTCTCTCTCTCTCTCTCTCTCTCTCTCTCTCTCACCTTTCGTATATTATCTTTATCGAGTTTATTGTCTTTTCTCTCTCCCACAAACTTCCATCTGTTTCCCTCTCGACCTCTCATTCATTAATAAACCTCTTCACTTACGCTGTACTGTATCTATCTCTAGCATCTTCCTCAGTGTCTCTCAGGCAGTCTTTCCCTCACACAGTGTCTCCCCTCACACTATATATCCCGTTTACTTAAGGTCTCCCTTCCCCCCACTGTGTCTCTCCCTAACAGTCTCTGCTCCCATAGGTCGAGTCTCGCTCAGACTCTCGGGGTGACAGAGGCGGCCCGAACAGCTGATCAGATAAACAAGAACAAATGGCTGAGGGGAATCTCCAATTGCTATGCCTCTTGCTCTATCCTACCAAACACTCCAGAGTGCCCTTGCCCCCAGAGTGTCACGAGCAGGGAGGAGGAAGAAGACGGTGTGTATGTCCATAGGAAGAGGACCAGAGTCACGGCTGAACCTAAGTAGAGAGAGTGGATTCTCTTTATAACGATTTGGGAAGGATTTAATAAAGATTTATATCATAGAATCGTGAATATTAGTGTTTTATTTACATTCCTATTTTTGCTCATCATATCTGGACAAGATCTCACAGACAGGCAAACAGACGAACACAACACACAGATCAAACTCTCAAAACACTCCAGGCTGAGCAGGTTAACCAGGAATGATAACAATATTAACAATAAACAAGGAGGCGGTTGAAAATCTGCCAATGGCTACAACAAACCGCAATTGTGAAGAAAAAACTCGCTTACGCTCTAATAAAACTAATTTGTCTTGAGACAGCAAAGACAAGCATTGGGCTACCCAGATTCAGCAATAAAAGAGATTGTTCGAATATTAATTATACTATGTAAGTATTTGTTAGTTTAATTTGTGTGAAATATATCAGTTTAATTTTCTTTCACCCGAACATTAAATCGCAATTCTCTATTTTTTAAATATTCAATATTTTTTCTCGCCACAATGCAAGTTAGTTGGCATTAACAACAGACGGGTCTTAATTTCTAGTGTATCATGTTTTGGTACTACTACTACTACTACTACTAATACGAATAATAATAATAATATTTTTTTTTTAAATGGCCTCCAGCCTCCCCCAACAGCCATACCTTCGCCACCATTTTATTACCTTAATATTAAATATCCTAATACATAAGTAGCTATCCTAGCTGTGTTGAGTTAGTTGAGCCGCAGATCTATGCGGCATTCAGTGACTGTAGCCTCATAGTCAATATCTGCAACTGTTGTCGGCTTTGGAGCCGATGGTCTCGTTCCCCTGAGGCAAAGCAATGCAGACCAAAGCAGAGAGAAGGACAATAGACATCTAACCAGGCTGCAACGTGGCTTCATGGCTCAGTTTCTGCTCAGACAGCACCTCCGCCAGTCTTGCATAGAAGCATCTTGTACTTGGTCGCATCCCACCAAAGGTTGTGAACACCAGAAGAGTGAAGCTGCTCTGATCTGCATTCTGAATTCCCTTGGAATACGCCCTAATCTTGTCGTTCTCGTTCCTATTGTGTGCAGTCTCAAGAGACAAGGTATGGTGACATGCGGCCATGGGGTCGAATATCCTGACATGGAAGAAGGCTCGCTGTCTCCGCGTACAGAATCCTCGAGCACTGATGTCCACACGAGCTTCGTTAGATGTGTTAGAAGTCCTGTGATGGAGGTTCTCACTGTCCAATGGAAGGAGGGGCGGTTCCACCGTGATATCGTGGCAGATTTCCTTCAGTAAATTTGCTAGGAGATCAATACTCCGTCATGCCTCATGAATACGAAGACCCCTTTCTTACACACCATGGCGTGGTCGATGTCGTAGGATGAGCCACACACACACTGAGAGGACAATCTTTCTACTGGCCAACCGTACCTTAGAGCAATGGCATCTGTGAATTCTTGTTTATTAAGGCTGAAACCTTTTGTCCTTATCGGTAACGTTGTTAGCCAGTTCGAGGAGCCCACCTCCTGCGCAATAGCTACTTTTTTCAGGTTCTCTTGCAATTGCAGCATCAGTTGCTGCAGTTTATCATTTTGGGTGTGCTGTCGATCTCTCGTAATGGACCGTCGAATCTTGTTTAATTCGTTGGTATCCATCTCACTTGTTGCATTCTTAGCTATTATGTGCTCAGTGAGGGCTGCCGTGACCTTGACAGAGTTATGTTGTTCGGTGGTAGCAAGCGCCTCTGGATTGGTCGTTCCCATTCCTCCCAGTCTCGGTGGTAGTACAAGGATTGACCTTTCTGCTGGGGTTAAATGAAAGTGTTTCACTAATTTTGGAATAAAAATGACGCTGGTGGCTTCTTCCAGAGGGTGGAGGAGGGATCTGATATCAGGATAGTGCACATCAGGTAATTCCATGGGTGAATGCTGCATAAGCCACATGTGGATCTGTTTTAGCAATAGCCAACAGAGCTTGGATTTCCTTCACCCACTTATTTACCTTTCCCGTTACGTATTCGGTCTTGAAATCATTCGTACCGATTACCGCACCTAGATGTCTTTGGCCGTCCTTTGTTATTTTGACCTCACTTCCACCGAACACCTCCATTGCCCGTTCATAATGTTCTGGCTTCACAATGAGGAGGGACTTGCTGGCATTTGGGTGGTACCCTATTTGTGGACCTCGTGATGTTATCAGGTCCCACCACTTTTTGATGTCCTCTACTTTCCTGCTCCTTTAAGGCTGTCAGCATACGCAACTTGCTTGACCTCGGTTGTTTCAAATTTTTTTGTGTGTTGGAGCACTGATAGCCCTATTGCGTACATTGACATTGCAACAGGGTCCCCCTGCGTTGTTCCCTCAGTTGATTGTGTGCTGGTATCACCTCTTAGAGCTTTGTTGTTTAGTATATAGAGGTCTAATGGAATTCTATAGGTGTTTTAAACATACATTGCAAAGCTTGGACACTTGGTCTTGATGTTGTGCAGTATGGCTTTGCGGTTAAATATGCTGAATGCGTTGGAAGCGGCAACCAGGAGAACAGCCTCACAATAACGCTGCTCAATTATCGTTCTCATGGCGTGAATGGCAGCTTTCCCTCCTGCCTGGTGGCCAGCACAAACTTGTTGGTTCCCTGACGCTGCCCTGATATCATCCTTTACCACCTCCATTATGTATTTTCCGATGATCTTCCTCAGCACTTCCTCCACCCTTATAGGCCTACATCCTGAATTCTTAAGCAGGGGAATGAGGCGGCAGGCCGCCAGAGCATGGAGGGTTGGCAGCACGAGCTTTCTAGGTTTCTTGCAAGGGCGGCAATGACAGTGCAGAGATCACTTGTTACGGGGCCAAACTTGTTAGTGCTGAGGATGACTCTCCAACCGTTTGCATCCAGGCCTGAAGGGCCAGCCCCTCCGTGGGTTTTCAGTGTTTTTTTCCACACCATCCCTCCTGTTATTTTCTCGAACAGGACAGCATTTGGTAGGATATAGTCACCCTGGAACCTAATGTCTTCCTCTTCACTTGCAGTGGGATGTTTTTCCTTCAGGTGTTTTAATGTCTCTCTGTTTATTGGCATAACACCACCGGAAGATTCCTCTGTGAGAGATCTTACCGCCAAAGACACTTTTCCCACGCTCATTTTGTTTCCAAACTTTCTTGCTACGTCATCAGTGTTTTGCTTTCTGTCTCCTATAAATTTTAGTCTCTCCTTCAGTGTTCTTGCTTCACATAGGAGATCATCAAGGGGCCCATTCTGCCACATTGTCAATCTTCTCTTCATCTGTGCCACATTTTCTTTGTGCTTAGTCCTTGTGTGTGTCGTCTGACAGTATAGATGGGGTATTATTGTCAGCATTTGAAGAGCTAAAGAGCAAGGAAGCAGTCCTCATTGTACTCGGTTATGAGGCGAGTCATCTCCCGAATCATTTCTTTGGTGGCCGCACACTTGGGTGGTTCAAACAGGTTAGCTGGCGACCACCTGACAATTTCTGAGTAAGTTTCTTTAACCCATATGTCCGCATTTTTAATCGACATGCCATTCCACTGTGGTGGCTGTCTGCCATTCACCTCGTAGACACCTGCTACTATTGGAGCCTCGTTTATTGGTACTACATTTTCAGGTTAATTAGACTCAGTGCTATCATTTAGGATATCATCGGGTGGTTGGGTCTTGGCGATATCCATTGTGGCCTCCTGTGTCGGCTCCCTGTTATGTGGGTTCCCACAGTTGTTTTCCTTTCTGCAAACCACACATGCTCGGTTGTTTCTCGCACAATCACAGCTAGTGTAATTTTGGTTCTGGCTAGCACAGACGCAACAATGTCTGTTACCCTGCATAGTGTTTCGAACTTCGGGCTACAGTTACGTCCGCCTCCGACATCTGCTTTGGTCCCATACAGAAGAAGAAACTAGTTCTTATGAGGAAAGGGCGCAGAGGTGACAAGCTGGACTGCTGTATCCGGGTAGTAGGGGTGTGTTGGCCACCCCCCCCCCGCCCCCCCCCCATGAGGGCGACATTCCACACATCAGAGTGATACACTGGGAGCAAGAATTGTCACACCTAACACTTGTTTATATATCCTTGGCAGAAATGACCACTATTTATATGGTCTCACTGATGTAAGATTAGTTATGTATACTCATTTGGTCGGCGGTCACTACATGAAGTGACCGTTACCTGTGGGAGGTGACCCCAAGCATAGAACACCTGGTCTTCTGTCACTGACCATAGGGGCGAGAGTTGCGAGGCTACCCCCCCCAAAGTAGGCCTATCGACACTGGCACTGGCACCTGGCACCTGCACCAGCCAAGCACTCACAACTCGCTTGATGATCGCCGGTAAACACACGAAATATTTGCGATTAATGCCGTAAGGGATGAGAAGAACCTTCGGTGACAATGCTTAGGGTGACATCCGATATTCACCGACACACTGTGAAATTCCCGCTCCCACACTCCGAATATGTCCCCTCCAATAACACTTTAGATCAGGGAGGACACTCCACCACACCCACGCCGAGCTGGCCGCCCTTCTACTACTACAACTACTAATGATAATAATAATATAATCAAGAGTAAAACATAATGCAAAAATTTAAATCTAAATATTTCAATTCCTTACCAAGAGGCCACACAGCACACCGGCATGAGGTAATAATACAAACCGTTATGATGTCTTCAGTTCGCGGTGAGAACATGTAGATAACAGGACGTAAAGCACATGGTTTTGACGACTGATGACCCATTCGCTCATGGTCTATATTTTGTCTGTGGAGCTGTCATCGTCAGGTTTATGTCTGTAAATAACCATAACTTTATAAGTAATAAAATTATTATTATTATTATTATTATTATTATTATTATTATTATTATTATTATTATTATTATTATTATTATTATTATTATTATTATTATTATTATTGTTGTTATTATTATTATTATTATGATTATTATTATTATTATAATTATTATTATTATTATTGGCAGTAGTGAAGAAGTGGTTAATGACGGTAATTATGGAAACAAACTGTGTATGTTTAAAAATTATGTACTGTAGATGTTAAAAATAATGACTTAAAATT